TGGATGGCCTTTCCTCATATCTTGCTAATTTAATCAATAAATTTCATATTTACCACAAAAATTAAGATAAATAAACAACAATAAAGCTCAAAACCTTTGGGGCAAAGCACACAAACATCACCAAGAGTAAGATCTCACGAATGCGAGAAGCCAACACAATAAGACCTAGACACTAGTGTTCAAAAAAGGCCAAAATGCAAGTTCTGCATCATTACCATACAAAATTAAATCAACAATGGAATCGAATTTTTCATAAATTGAAGAATAGAAGTTCAATTTTCAAGAGAGAATTAAAATAGCTCCTTTTTACTGAACAATTCAATATACAAATTCAATTTAGTTGTACGAGTTTCAGACATGCTTTGATATCAGAAAACTACTTGAAAATTTTTTTTATGCCCAGTTTAAAACCTAGCAGACTCTCTTAATCTCTAACAGTAAATTTATAGGTAGTTTTATGATTTTTGACAAAACAATCTTCTTTAATTTTTTCTGATATGTAAATATTCTTCAAATAAACGCCACTCCATTTGGATTGAAGAGTTTGGTGAGAAGAAAAGAAATGGAGAGAATGAGGGTTTTCATCACTTGTTTGGATGATTAATGAGGTGAAAAATGGTGAGAAAGACATATCCATCAAAACTTAAGTTTTGTTTCTCACCAAAAGTGGTGAGAAACCAAAATTACTCTTTACAAAACATATATAATACATAAACTTCCCCTCTAAATACAAAGCGAATGAACTAAAAAAGTCACATGTATCCTCTTTTAATCATTGTTCATCCAAACAAAAAGGTGAAAGCATCAATGGTATATGCGGTGTATACAAAAAATGGAAGGCCAAAAGTCATCAAAACCAAGAATGTTAAAATGTTTTCTCTCTCAACATTTTTTTTTCTGTTTTCTCTCTCAACATAACAGAACTACTAATCATCAAAACCAATTAGAATTCTGCTAAAACAATTTTTTTTTTTTTCAATAGCAGGATTATATTTACATTTCCTTTAATTAATAAAATATTTTTACTTTTTTCATGATGAGATACAACATGCAAAATGTAATTATACAACAATTATACTAAATTACATTCTTTAAAAGAGAAGCATGCACATGTCAATTGTTTAAACATTATCACTCATCAATACACTTCATAAAAAAAACATATAGAAACTTAAAAGAAAAAAATATATATACAAGTCCTCTTTCATGACAAGAAAAAGAAAAAAATTTACCAGATGAAATCCTCCTCTTTGAGTCACTTCTTTGTAGAATATATATAAGTCCAAGCTTGCATGCCGGAAATTAAAGCTGCCATATTAATATATTTCATCAACTTTCATCAAAATATAAAACCCTTCAATGCATAACTCAGTTTTTTTTTTCTTCTTCTTATTCATTTTTCACTAGACAACTCAAATTTTTTGTTTATAACAAAACAAGACAACTCAATTTAAACACGAGAAAAATAGTAATGTTATGGTGATTGGGTCCTGTTTGAAAATTCAAACTATTTTAATTGATTTTTTAACTTTTTATAAAAATATGTGAAAAAAAAAAAAAGAGGGATATAACAACTTAAAATCCCTTTTTAACTTTTTATTACAAACCCAAGTTCCCAAAGGAATGGGTAACATTTAATGTGACGTGTTACATTGCTTTCGAGATAAAAACACTGTAGGAAATATAGAATTTAACGGCGTTTATTTAGCGACGTTTTTATAAACACCACTGTTTCTAACCTTTAACGACGTTTTATAAACGTCGCATTTTATTTTGATTAAAACGGTGCCATTTAAGGAATAGAAGTCGTTTTTAAAACGCCTTCACGTGTGTTAAAATAATATTCCTCCCCTTCTCTCTGTAGCTCTGTGAGAATCAGAACCCTTTTTTTCTCTCTCTCTCTCTCTGCGACCTCATTTTGAATCTGGGAAACATTCAGAGTCAGAGAAACCAATCCCTCAAATCTCACTCACTCACTCGATCGCTCGCTCTCTCTCTAATCCCTTCAGTCTTAGAGATTACAATTCAACCTTCTGCGGCTCGGTTTCATCTCAGATCCAATCTCAGAGTGATTTCGACTTCGAAGTTGTAACACCCTGTCCCACATCGGAAGTTTGCATGGGTGATCTTGGGCATATATAGCACCACTACCTTGCTACTAAATAACTTGGACTTAAGCTTTTGGGTATTGTTGGTACAATCTCAATTTCGTTTTCTCTCTCTCTCTCAAGCTCTTCGTTCCATCGATTCTTCTCCTAGGGTTTACATATGTTTAAGATTCCAGATCTGAGTTTTCTCATTCAAAAATATATGTTTAAGATCTGAGATTTCTCATTCAAAAATATGTTTGAGATTTGAAATTTCTTATTCAAAAACATATGTTTCAGATCTGAGATTTTTCATTCAAAAAATATGTTTATGATTTGAAATTTTTTTTCCCATCTGTTTGTACTTTCACTACTTTTTTGATGTCATTGGAGTCAATTTGTTTTTTGTTTTTTTTTTCTTTCCCGGTTAAATGTGTTGTATTTTGTATTGCACGCTTTTCTTGCCTTGGATTTGTGGTGTTTTGATTGACTTTGTATTGAGAATGGATTCGAGCGATGCGTGATAATCTATTTTAAATTAATTCTTGTTTTTTCTTTGAATGCAGAGACTACAAATAAAAAATAAAATAAAATAAGAATCTCATTGTTAAAGTAAAGTTTAGAACTTGAAATTTTTATGTTGAATGTACTTCTTTTTTAATTTGTATCAGAACTGAGTGCAGAGTTGTTTGTAACGATTAATTTGTTTGTTAGGAGCAATAATCTACGGAGATTTAGTTTAGAATTTTAATTGGCATGGTTTTAATATGAATTAGTTCAGAAAAATACTCTTTTAAGTGGGCTACCTTGTTAGAGACTCTGTATTTACGTGCACGGTAGTTGTGCAAATAATGGGAGCAATATCATGGCTGGTCTTCACAGCATATTGTTTGCCATGATATGACCAAGTAGTTGTTTACTGCAATGCATACTATTACTAGAGAAAGGGACTTTGCAGTGACTATATAAAGGCTACCTTTGTCTTGGGGATCACTAATTGGTTATTGTCATGAGTTCTTGTGACTGCATTGTAGTGTAGTAGGTTCTCCAGTGTCTTAGGGATCATACTAGTGTAGGAACTCCATTGTCCCAGCTTTGAGTTACTACCTACGAGCAGTTCAAATGGCATGACAGTTGTTTCGTTACCTTTTTAAAAAAATAAAAAATAAAAAATGATTGACGTTAGTTTTTTCTCAAAGATGAGCATTTTAGAATTATATTTGAAATCTAATTTGAAACAATGATTGGTTATCTAATTAGAAATAGGGAAATCTAACAAGATCGATGCCTGTTAACAATTTCACCGTATTTGCAGCCAATAAAATAAAGTTAATAGCACCATATTTGCTAATAATGGGCATTTGGTACAACTTTCATCCATATTTGGTCTCCATTTTAGGAATGTAACATTAGTTCTTTCATTCTTTTGTCTTGAAACTGAATTTCATTTATATTTCTTAATACTATACCATATCTCAAGGTCTTGTTACAACTTTTAAATGGACTTGTTATTGTGTCTACATCGTTTTGGGCCAAGTAAATACCAATGCTGTTTTGAAACTGTGTCAGTGAAAAGATCCAATGGGCTCAATGTGAAGACTGTTTTAAGTCGCGCAAAGTTCCTGCCGATGCTTTTCTTTCCTCAAGATGGATCGGTTCTGAAAACTGGTGGGATCTAGAAAGGTAAAATTGGTATCCATTTCTGCTTCTGAATCCTGGACTTTTTGTTCCTATATACAAATTTTTGTTTTTGTTTTTTTTTTGAGCTATGTTGTTGATTGCATTCAAAACGAGCAATGAAGCCAATATATGTTCCTCATCTCATTGAGGGATGTAAATGTGGATACAGGGCAGGTGCTCTTGCTCCCAAATGGTTTTATAGCATCATGTAATGATTTCTTTATATTTTAGTGGGTATTCTTTTGTATTAATACGTAATCAATCAGTTTATTTTACACCCAATTTCGCTGTTTTTGGTTATAAATGAAATCCATAATTGATCATTTTCTCTCTATTTTTCATGAGAGGAGTTTTTGTTTTTGTTTTTGTTTGTTTGTTTCTTATCAATTTCTCAACAAATCAATCAATTCAAATGAAGACTGTTAATGGGAATATCTATTTCTCTCTCCTCTCTGTCTTACTCTCTCCTCTGATTTGTAAAAGTAAGTCAAGTTCTAAATACTGTATGGTGTTTGATGTGGGTGTATAGGGACAGGGCAAAACCCACAAAATACACAAAGGACAGTCGCTATTGTGGTGGGAGGAGCGGCTGGTTTTGGGCTTGGAATTGCCTGTTTGTTGTTTCTAAAATCAGCTTTTAAGAAGCGAGAAAACAAGCATGGAGGATGATGATGAGGTTAGTTTCCAACCTTCTACTACTCCGTTTTCTGCTTTTTTTCTCTGTTTTTTTAATTTTCAAAATGAAAATATTCCTCTTGCTATGAAAAATTTATTAAATTTTTTGTTTACAGTTTGGTATTTTGTGTGTGTGTGTGTGTGTGTGTGTGTGTGTTGTATGTGTGCAGGGTGAGACTACTACTATTATGTGCTTAGCTGCTAAGTTGGAGGGGTGTAATGTAAAAGAGAGAAGTTTTGCTTTTTTGACTCTGTTTTGCATTCAGATATTTCTTCTCCACCTAGTTCCTTTTTCATTAGTTTTCTTTCTTTTAAACCAAACAGCCCTATATGTCTAAAAAAATACACATTTTAGTCATAGTTGGCCTTTTTCTTTTGAATGTACATGCACAGATTGAAATATATATATATATATATATCTATTTGTGAATAGTAGCTTTTAGTTGGCATTAAAGGTTTGTTCTCCACTTTACTACATAAAGAGCAATTATTAGGTAATTAAACACACATGTTCAAGTGAAATTGTGTTGCCAAGTGATAGTCAATAAAAAACCTTCGTCGATGACTTCTTGAGGAATGTCGTGATCTAGAGGTCTGTTTTGACTCCTAGTCCTAACATGCATTTCCAATCTCTCTCCTACATTCTTTCTTTTACCTTACCTAGACTGTAACCTGCAATACACAGATTGCTTTCACCATGTCTCTCTTACAACTAATTGGTGCTAGAGAGGGTTTTAGCTTTAGTTTTAAGATTATGTGAGGTCGACCTATCAGTGTCTTTGATGATCTTGGGTCCAGAGCTCTTCCAACTTTCCTCAATTCCACCATGAATGCTATTGAGGTACTACTACTTTCCTCATCTATTTCTCACACTCATTTTTGATTGTTTTTTTTTTTCCCCCATATGAATTCAGTCAGATTCACACTATGTTCGACTTCAAGATGCAATTCAAATTACTCTTTGATGTCTTGTGAATTTTGAAATGGCTGTTTGGGTTAAAAAAAAAAAGCAAAGAGTTTTGTTCTTAGTTTACAATTTCACTGAAATTATCACTAAAAGCACATGTAAAATTCAAATATCTGCTGTGTGGATTGAAAACTATGCAGAAAATTTGCTTATTTTCTCTTAAAAAACTTTCTGTGAGTGTAGTGTATCATCTTAAATTTAATAATGTGATATCTGAAGATTGTTCTCTTTATGTTGAATTGTAATGTGAGTAGGGAATCATTGGAATGGTTGGGCTTTCTTGATCTAAGAAAAGGGTTATCAAGATACTTCACGATGTCAATGGAATCATAAAACTGTCCAGGTTGGTTCATGAATTCCTCAATTTTAGATTAATGCTACTTGATTGATTGATCTACTGGAAACTAGAAAGTTTTGGTCTCCAAAAATATGGTCTCCAAAAATATAATCCAAATGCTTTCATTTTATTTTTTTTCTTTGTGATTTTAGAAATGAATACAATATAAAGTTCAAAACACCTAGTTTTCGTTTTGTGCTAAAACAGTTTTTGAAATTTTTCTAGAAAGGGGGTTGTTTCTAAAAAAAATTTATGAAAAGATTTTGAAACATGGAGAGAATGATTGCTATCAACCTCTTCCTAATGGGCACAAGCTTTTCTTCCATGATATAAGATGGGTAGCTGTACGTGCAGCTGTTGCTATGGGTGAGGAAGGCGATATGGTTGCAAGTCTTTGAGACCCCATCTGCTTTTCTTACCAGCTAATTTATCAATTCATATTTAGTGCCATAAAATTTGGGGGTAAAAGTCACTCAAAACTAATGGGGATAGAAATGAGTTTATTCCTGAACTTTTCAATAGAGATACATAAAGAGTTTTGTTGTTCTAATATGACAACAAACTAAATTCTATTTGTTTCCCTATGTAGCTTTTGGTGACTGTTAAAGAGTTTGGGATGTACAGGAAATGGGAAATGGGAAATGGGAGATGAGATAAATTCTAGAGGTTCTGATATTGAAATTTTGTTCCAGAGGTTTTGAAGCTTTGGAACTCCACTCGGATTAATGAGCATGCTGAGAAGGGTGATGCTTTCCTTTCATCATTAATACCTTAATGATTTCATGGAGGAAGAGTTAAGCTACACTCTATACTGGCAACCCTTTCTGAATTTGAACATGCTGAGAAGGGTGATGCTTTGTACGGTAAGTAGCCTGTTTTACATGCTTTGCATAGTATATTTGTGCATTGTTCATGTTAAGAATTGTAGAACACCTAAACACCTAATCAAGATAGGTGAGATATGAAAAAATAGAGAAGAATAATAAACAAGAGTATAAATCACACCCACTCACAAAAACATAAGATTATAATGTGATTCACCTCAAAATTAAGAATAATAAACAAGAGTATATATATATTGTTTACTTTTATTTCTAGCCATATCGTTCTACCACATGCATTTCTAGCCATATGAAATTTATGTCTCGAGATTTTTATCAAATCATTTTGACATATCTATGACTAAACATCTTTGTAGTTGTTGAGGTATAGTGGATGTAGTTGGCATTAATTACTCGACCACATATCTAACTTAAATTAAATTTGAATAAAGATATTTTTGTTATATATATTTGTGACTTGTTGCTTTAATTTCTATGAATATGTAAGCGATGGGGCAGCTATCTCTGTTTGTCGTGTCGCTTTTTTATTTTTATTTTATCATAATCAAACCTCAGCTCCACATATATATATTTGCTACTGTTCATGGCTCCACCCACAGGCACATCAGAGCTGCTTTGCTTTCTCTCCTGTGCCCCTCCATCATCAGGTCCCAACTCTTGCCCAAACTTGATGACTTCATGAGGTGCCACCTCAGTAATTGGAACAACACACTCATTGACATTCAACAAAAAACCAAAGAGGTGTTTGATTTAGTCATTTTCTTTTTCTTTTTTCACAATGTTGAACTATTTTTCAGGTACTTATGTTGCACATTGTTTGTTCAGATGGCATTTTTGTCATCGCTTAACCAAATTGCAAGTATTGAATGGGAGTCAATGTCTGGGGAATTCATGCCTGAATTCTTTAAGCTGGTGTTGGGAACCCTTTCTCTGCCTATCAACTTTCCCGGAACAAATTACCACCGCGGTTTCCAAGTAAACAACTTATTTCTTAAGTACATGTTGCTTTTAAGTCAAGTAAACTAATGATATCTAAAGTATCCGATATGTTACAGTTTAATCATCAATTTTTGAAATTTGTGCTTTAGTCTAAATTAATAACGGGAGGAGGGATATTTGGCTCTCGGTTGGTTCATTTCAAAACAAACCAACAACTAACATGAAGGCGTAAATTTGGAAGCGATGTTTTACAGTTTTAAATATTTCTGTATGTATGTTTTGTCTAACTGAGATGTCTCACAGGCAAGAAAACATTGTTAGCATGCTGAGACGACTCGTAGAGGAAAGAAGAGCTTGCCAAGAAACCAAACATGACATGCTTGGTCTCCTAATGAATGGGGGTGAAGAAAACAGATATAATCTAACAGATGACGAGAAAATTGATCAAATGATAGCAATTTTGTATTCTGGATACGAGACTGTTATGTAACCAAGTATTCTTAAATATTAATGGTGTATTTTCACACCCTACTGTTATGTAATATTTGTGGATATGTTATTTTGTGGGTAATGGTGATTGGTGAATGGGAAAGTGAATTAATGATGCATTTGCTATTTGAATGTAAGTTATTATTTCATATTAGTGTTATTCAGTTTTATTATATGTATTTTTTTAGTTTAATCACATAAATTAGCACAATTTCAAAAAAAAGAAAAAAGGAGATATCACGGCGTTTTTTTAAAAACGCCACTTAAACCCTAAATATTAACAGTTAGATTTTTAAAAAAGATATGATGGCGTTTAAAAAATGTGGCTAAATATCATAATGACGTCATGATATTGTCAAGTAAGACATTTGGCGGCGTTTTTAAAAACGCCGCCTACACTAATATAACGACGTTTTTAAAACGTCATAAAGTTATAGCGACGGCCGCGTCCTCGGCGCTTGGTGCTAAGCGTCGCAAAAAGAATTAGCGGCGTTTTTGACACTTATAGCGGCGTTTTTTAAACGCCGCTAAAAGCCGAATTTCCGGGTGGTCGACCACATAGCATAGCAAGAAGTTTGGAAAGCAAAAGGGCGGTCATCCGGGTGGTCGACCCTTTTGGATATTTTCTTTCTCTAGCTCCAAGACTCTCACAGGACATCCGGAAGTTTCGCGCCTATAAAATAAGAATTTATCAAATATGAGGGAGCTATAGTGACTCTCTATTTGTAGGGAGTCACTGTAGCAATACTTTTATTTGGGGGGTTGGATAAGGGAACTGTTGGGGATATGTTTTGACAGAAAAACTCCTTATTTGAGTAAGGAGGTAATATAAGAGAAGAGATGGGTATGCTCTTATATATGGTATGAATAATATAGTAATATAGTAAAAAGTAAGTTTTAATTTTTTTTTAAAGAAATAAAAATTAGTGTGAGAAGATTAGGTTAGAAAGATATGAAACATATATTTTTTTTTATTTCTTTTTGAAAACTATAAATTATAAAATTATTAATATTTTAAAAACTATTACTTTAATGGATTAGCCAATACTACTTTTTAAATTTATTTTTTAATTCAATAAATCTACAAATTTATTATGAGATTTTGGAGTTCTCAGAATGCTCCTCACGAAATCTCCTTTTACTTATATAATATACTAGCATATCACTTGTGCTATGCACGGATTGTGTTTACAATTATCTATATATGTAAATTGTGATTTTTAAATGTTTTTTTTTAAAATGTCTTCTTTTTTTACTTTTTTATATTATATTAAAGTTTAATAGTTTGAAAATAATCATATATGTTGGACTTTTCAAGGAATTAAATGTCTTTTTTATTATTATATTATATTAAAGTTTAATATTTTGATAATAATCATATGTGTAGGACTTTTCAAGAAATTTTTTTTTATGCTTGTTCTTAATGCATTAAAATGTTATTATGATGGATAATAATCATATGTGTTGGGACTTTTCAAGGAATTCATGTGTTGAATTTCAAAGAATTTTTTTTATACTTGTTCTTAATGCATTAAAGTGTTATTATGATGGTAAGACTTGGTAGAAGTTAATAAATGCTAAAATTTTTTTTTTTAAGTGTTATTATGAGGGATAATAATCATATGTGTTGGGACTTTTCAAGGATTTCATATGTATTGATGCTAGGGACACCAAATTTTCTACTAAATAAATGACCAAATGTCTCACATTCGTGGGCCCTACACCCATATGAGACATTTGGTCATTTATTTGGTAAAAATTTTGGGACCTCTAGCATTTTCCTTTTTTTTTATGCTTGTTCTTAATGCATTAAAGTGTTATTATAATGGTAAGACTTGGGAGTTGGGAGAAGTTAATAAATGTTAAGATTTTTTTTTTTTAAATCACAAAATCAAAAAATTTAGATTGAGAAATTGGAGCTCCCACAAGCCTTGGAGTTAAAAACCCCCTATTGTTTAATGTATAGGATAGATAGATAGATAGATATCCAATTTTTTAAAATAATTCTATAGTCATAATAAATCTTATTTGATAGAATTCAATGAATGGTATGAGAGAAATATTTGGGACCCTTTTTTTGCAGGTTTCATGACCCCTAATTTGATCTTGGCCCTTGATGTGTGTGTGGGGTCCACTCATGTATGTGTAGACCCCACATTATGAGTGATTGGGATAAAAGTGTGGAATGAGGATCCTCTCCTTGCAGCTCTTGTACTTGCGCCCGTCCTTGCAGGCCTTCGGGTCTACTTTTAGGCCCAATTTTGATAATCCGAACCGTTTATATTTTATGATTTATTCATATATCATACCTGTGAAAAATCAAGTTGATCGGATATCAGAAAGTATATGTTCGAAAAATTGAACTAAAAACTATTTTTTAAAGAATTTAATAAACAGTTTTTCGAACATATGCTTTCTGATATCCGATTAACTTGATTTTTTACAGGTATGATATATTGAATAAATCATAAAATATGAACGGTTCGGATTATTAAAATTAGGCCTAAAAGTAGACCCGAAAGCCTGCAAGGACGAGCGCAAGTACGAGACTGCAAGGAGAGAACCTTGTGGGGGTTGTGAGGTCATATATGTGTAAGGGTCTCTATCACAATTGTATGTGTGAATCTAAAAATATTTACGTCCCGTAGAAAGCTCTGTAGAAGAATATATTCTGTCATATTAAGATTTTTTAATTTTTTTTTTTTTACAATCAATGGATAATATTTGAACTCAAATATCACATCTGATAAAAAAAAAAATGAAGAGAAGATTTCCTTCACTCTAGATTTTGAATTAGAGGGCACTGTTTGGATCCGTGGGACCCACCATGGGTTCCCGTTTCGATAATCTGAATTGTTCATTTTGTCGTGTATTTCATCCACGCAAAAAATTAAGTTGATCCGATAATTGTAATTTGTTTAATTTTTCACTAAAAAAATAGACAACAATTATATCTTTAAAAACAAATCATACATTTTTTTAGTCACAAACGCAATAAATTAAATAAGTTATAATTATCGGATCTACTTAATTTTTTTTGTGGACGAAATACACACAGTGCCCAATAAAACGAACGGTTTGAATCATCAAAACAGGATCCATGGTGGGCCCCACGTGCCCAAACAGAACCCTCTAATCTAAAATCTGGACTAGAGGGGATCCTTCTCCAAAAAAATAATGGGAAGAATTACAAAAAATAAAAAATTAAGATTTGACCATTGTAACAAAATAAATCTTGAGTTCTTAATTTTTTTCAATTTAAATCCTAAATTTTTCAATTTATCTTCATTCTAAACTATCTATCTATTTTCTTTACAGAAAAATTGATAGTAAAAGGAGTGTTTTAGTCATTAAACTCAATGAAATATAATAATTTAGATATTTTATGAATACTTATATTGAGTTTAATGACTAAAATACTATTTTTTCTGTTAGTGTAATAAAAATAGGTTGAGGGTTTAAATTGAAACAGATTAAAAGATTAATATTTAAATTAACAAAATTAAAAATTTATTTTGTTATAAAAGTTAAATTCTAAATTTTTTTTGGTAAGATAACAAATTCTAAAGTTTTTTTGGTAAGATAATAATAATAATTTATGCACTAAGCAAATCCTTATTTTTTTGGTAAGCTAAATTCTGAGTCATCGTCCAATGAAAATATAGTAAGTACTTGACGTCAAATTTCCATATATTTCAAGCCATATTAATTGAAACTTTTAAATAATGATAGATTTTATAAATTATTATTATTTGCTTTCAATTTCTATCACTCACATTTCACCATTTCACAATGAGAAATGCCAGAAAGTTACGGCATTTAATGCCCTCATTAATGAAAACTTTTGTAACGTAAATGTAATTTTTATTTTTTTTTGGTAACTAAACTACATGGATGCCCAAGCCAAAAAAAAAAAAACAAACCTATATGGATGGAGTTTTTAATTGCTTAACTCATGGAGAGTACAAAAAAAATATTTAAAAATTGAAATATATAAACTAAATGGCTGTTGATTTTTTTGGTTAAAATAATCAAAAAGTCAAAATATCTAATCATATCACTCATTCTACTTTTCTACATATTTTTTTCTTAAAAATCTAAAAAATCAACTAAAATAGTCTCTTTCCAAATACTCACTAATATAATCCACACTCATAAAATTAAAATCCAAACTATGTATTTCCGTCTTCAAATAGTTTTAAATATGCTCATAGTATTTTCCTTTTTCAAATTTTGCGTACCATATTATTCACCCTTTCTTTAACCCACAAGGGTTGGCTTGGGAGTGTACTCCCTCCATAATCACAGGTTCGATACATTCTTAGGTACAAATAATTTTTTTAGAATTAGTACATACGAAGGCTTTGCCCTGGCTTTAATTTGGGGCTACCGCTAGTAGATGGTGAGATTAATCACTTAAATTATTCAATTCTTTAAGCCGAATATCAAGTTATCAAAAAAATTTGCCCCTTCTTCATTTCCCAGACAGTATGCTCTACCTCTTCTTGACAAAACATATGCTCCATTTCTCTCTCTAAATTAGAATTAAGACGGCAAGTCAATCGATCTGAGCCGAGATTTGTAGTGCTTGAACTTGGCTCAAAAATTAATTCAAATCAAGTTCAGCTCAACTTGTTAATAAAATCATACTTGAACTTAGCTCGAAACTCAATAATGCTTAACAAATTTGATTCGATAATTAAGCTCGGTCAGCTTGTTTAGGAATTGACCTTTTTAGTAATTTTTTATTTTTTATTTTTTTACTGAAACGTGCAAAAAGTATAGATCATAATTTGATAACTTGTAATGACTTTTTGATTTTTTAGCAACAAACCTAACTTTCCAAACAAGCCCTTAGTATTATAATATATATAACACATTTTACAAATTTTATATTTAAATAATAACTGTGCTACATCCCCAATATAGCACCATCATTTTTACCCGTTATGAGGTAGAAGAGAGAGAATAGAGCGAGAGGGGATGAGAAGCGTGGGTCCGTCCCGGCACATGGCCCATTCCATGTCATTATAGGTGAATTGGAGTTGCTCAACTAGTGCTCCCAAATATTTTTTTTTAAAATAATATATATTATTATTTAAATAAATAATAAGACCAAGTTTGAAAATTCTCAAAAAAGTCAAAAAGTCAAAAAGTTACTCAAAAAGTTAAAAAGTTAACACTATTCATCAAAAGTCAATAATTACGGCTGCACAACTCCCAATTCAAATTTTCCTCTACAAACCAATTTTTCATATTTTTTATTACACATTTTTCATAAAAAGTCAAAAAATTAACTCAAACATTCATATTTTTTCCCTCAATTTTTTAGTCCAAAAAGACAAAAAGTGCACTTATTTATGACACCCCAAACAACCCCTAAGTGAGTGAAGCATTTTGAGCCAAGCTTATTGTAAAATATGGCAAAATCTTATAAATTTATTACCATTGATTAGCAAATTTTTTCCAATTTCGCTTCTGATTCTACTCATTTTTCATCTTCCAATTTTGTCCTAGCCTCCTTGTAAGGACAAAGTCCAAATTTAGATGTAGGATTGGACAAAATTGTAAAATTCATCATTGATTTTTTATGAAATTTCACATTAAAAAATCTTCCTCCCTCTTCATCAACTTATAAATACACCATGCACCGTCTTTAATCTCCTTCAATTCCAACACATACACATTTTGGGGTATTTTTCTCATCAAATCCAAAAATGAGGAAAACAATCTTATATCACTTCTTCCCGTCCAAAGCAGAAGAGGAGGAACACCAGAGGGCAGGCAGCAGTGATCCCCACGCCATCCGGTGGGAGGTGGTGGAAACAAAAGCTGACCCACCTCACCTCCTCCATATTTTTCCATGGGAGATCAAGAAGGTTCTCACTGCCAACGACGTTGGCCATTTCGGGAGCCTTGAGTTGAGCCCTGAACAAGTTCACAATCACATCTTCAAGTACTGGGATGAGAAGACGGTGGCGAAGGTGATCGAAGACGGCGAGCAAGTTCCGATTGTGGTGTGTGATTGGGACACTAGGACTGACCACAAGTTGATTCTCAGGAAGTGGTCAAGTGATGAAAACTACTCCATTTATGCTTGCTGGATCAAGGAGTTTGTGGCTCGGCGCGGACTCAAGGTTGGTATGCTGATCGGAATGTACTGGGATATCGGATCGTCGGCGCTCCGATTCTCCGTTTTGAACAAGGTTGAAGATTGATGATCCTCACAATGTTAACCTAGCAAGGCTATTGCTTTAGGATCTCTAGATTGTCATTTTGATTCTACTTTTGTTGCAAATGTTTTGTCGTCTTGAATTTGATAGGATTTCTTCCTATATGAATTCCGTTGAACACAGAATTTTGATTTTATTTTTGTTATAAATCTTTGATTGTCTTGAAATTTGATAGGATTTCTACCTATGAATTATATTAAACACATAATGATTGTTTATTTTGAGAATTGTTTCCTGAATCTGAAACATAGTACTTAGGTTTTCCCGATAACTAAAGAGCATTCGCAATTTGGAGCCTTCTCAATTTACAGCTGTGTTTGTTATTGTTATAATAATTACTGCATAGGTGTTAAATTATGGAGATAAGCAATCTACCTTGATAAATTCTACAGATTAATTGCCGACAGTGAATTAATCGTCACGAACACGAGTTTCACTAATCGTCGACAGTGTATTAACCGTAATACAAGTTTAACTAAATGTTGACAATGATATATTATGCAAACTAATTGCTGACAGTGAATTAACTATCATGAACATGAGTTTAACTAATCGTCAACAATGTCTAAATCATGATGAACACAAGTTTAATTAATCGTCAATAGTAAATTAATTTTCATAAACACGAGTTTTAAGTACAAAAGTTAAATCCCTCCCAAACATCAATTTTTGTGGGCTATTCACCGAAATAACCGTGTGAGATTAACTAATTGTCAACGGTTAATTAACCGTCACAATAACGATTTTAACTACAAAAGTTAAATCTCACCCTAACAATTTTTGCAGGCTAATCGCCGACCGTTGAGAACACAAATTTAAATTCAAAAGTTAAATCCCTTCCCAACATCAATTTTTGTGGCTAATCGTCGACAGCGAATTAGCCCTTACAAACAAGAGTTTAACTAATAGTCAACAGTGAATTAACCATTACGAACACAAATTTTAAGTACAAAAGTTAAATCCCTTACGCACACAAATTTTAAGTACAAAAGTTAAATCCATCCCAAACATCAATGCGTGGTTTCAAGTGAACTAGTGAAAGTTGGGTCCATCACATTAATCTTTTTACCATATGCAAATCATACAACACAAACACAACGAAACACTAGCAGTCATACATACAAGTTAGAATAAAGCTATACGCACCAATTGATATACCAATTAGTATATTAAAAGATGATGTGATAATTTTATTAGTTTTGAATCTTTATAATTTGTATAATAGGTGGGGTCCATAGTTTTGAAATTGTAATGCTATAACATATGTTTATACACTAACTAATATAGTAATTGATATATGTAGCACCACTCTACAAGTTATTGAGGAAATCTTTCAAACTATTTAAGTGTCCACTACACTAGTTAATATACCATTGAACATACCAAAACAAAAAATTTTACTTAACAAAAAAATTTGTCAAAAAATAAATAAAAATGCAAATGAATAGAGAGAAGTTTGTTTGAAATTTAATTGGGAAGGGAATCAGAATAATTTGGAAATTTAAAGATAACTATTATCAAAAGGTCAAAAGCAATCAATAAGAGCATATCAAAGTTAAGGAAACAAAGAAAAATATGGAAATGAATTGTTGTTATATGGAGAAAGTCAAAAAATTCAAATTATTTCCTCCCTGTCAAATTGTTTCTTTATTTTTCTAATTTTACAAGCCACTGAAAATTTTCACGGTAAACAAAATAAATAAATAAATAAAAGAATAAAATCATTTTCATATGCATAACACTTTCCAAAAAGGCACGCAGGATTGTTAATATATATAGTTGAACCATATAAACTCCATAAAACAAACTATACCGAAACAATCAGTACTTCTATTTGCATAGAAACCAACCCCAGAATTAGACGCACAAGTGGGAGTGTGGGATCCACAAAAAGGTAGGACCCACATCATGAGAGAGGGTTATATCGATTCTGGGGAATGGCTCCTCTCCATACCACTATTTTCTATACTCTATTTTGTGGGCCCCATCTTGGGCCTACAACGATAATCCGAATAGTTCATCTCGTAACCTCACTAATAAAGATTAGTTGTGAAAAAAATTTGCTTCACCAAACATGACAAAACTCATGAACAAATTACATTGTATTTTTTAAAATGGATGACAACTATCAGTTTAAACTTAAACTGTCCATTTTAAAATGTGATGTGTTCGTCTATTTATGGATATACTATTAAGATAAATTTTTACACAAACGGTCTTCATTACAAGGTTTGTGAAATGAACAGTTCGGATTATCCTTAGAGGCCCAAAGTGGGGCCCAGAAAATGAATTATGGAGGCGTATAGAGGATAGTGGTGTGGTCAGCGATCGGTTTCTGTGTTCCTAGAAACCAAATGTTAACATATGCAACAGTCCCATAAACACCACACCACCTTCCACAGAAGCATTCAGGTCTTCAGTATATACACAATACAGTTAAACTATACAAACTCCAAGGATAAAATGTTAAACATACACAACATACCTCCAAAGAAGAGCACCAAGTACACATATTTCCTCAGCAGCAACGATGCTACACGCTTCAAAACCAAAACCAGCAACCAAAACTCTGGGAACAGGATGATTCTTTTTTAACTGGGTGTATCAAGTGATCCACAGTACTCATCCCAGTTAATCTGAAATATGGGGTCGTTTGGTCGTGCATTCTTCATAGATCTCATCGCTATTTCCAATACAGATTCGTCTGGCACGAAGAAGCTTCCAGGAGCAGATTGCAAAGTCACATGGTACTCACCATCTGTCAGTCGCAGCACGTTGGAGTTACCATCGATTGGTTTTGAATTGCTAGGCACGTTTTTTTGTTGCTCCTTGTAGGCAGTCATTTCCTGATTGAATCTTTCCTTATCTTTTCTAAATTCTTCAAGATATGGCTGTAAATATAGAAAGGCAACAAATTGACGTTGAAAATTGGATTGGATATCATGTAATATAAGGAGAGAACAACCAGTGTCTTGCATCACTTATCCCGTTATCAACACGCACTGTTCTAAAAGAAAGTTCAGAAGACTGAGGATAAAACTAAACCAATCTGGTAGTTTGATTGGTGCATATTGCCTAAAAAATAAACAAAACTCAATGACACCGTGTCTGACACTAACGCAACACTCATCAAACACTTTCCAACAATTAGACTCACATAAAACACAATACAAGTTTAAATTAAATAAATTGGAATCCAATGATAAAACAAAAACAATGTATATATATACATATATTCCTTCTCCAGACTTTAAAAACTAATTCATTTGACTTAAATATTCATATCTATGACATAATAATTACTTATCCTCATATCATATATCGCATTTAATATTATATAAAATTATATATTTTGCATGTGTCTCCCATGTGTCATGTTTTACATTTTTGAAAAATTTCTTGGCAATGTCAACGATACATTCTTGCTCCCAAGATTACTATGCCATTTACCTCTAACGACAACCCTATTAATTCAAAGGGAACATGTGTCCAAGTACATTAAAAACCAAAAAAAAAACCAAAAAAACAGAAGCAAAGATGTGCTGAGGCCACTGATTTTATAAACAATTTAGTCCCCTCCAGATAATTTACCTGCCGATCACTCTCGGGGAGAATCCTCCATGCATCTATTGCCATGGTTCGGAGATTACGGTTTGCTGAGCTCTCCCCATGGACCTTTTTCAGTCGCTCACATTCCTTCCTGAGGAAGATCTGATATGCAGTTCTTGCTCGTATTGGAGCCTTTGGGTCTTTTTTCACATCCTTATTTTTTGGTGATGTCTGCACGACCGGTTTCTTCTGTTCTGCTGACTTAGCCCCTGTTTTCAAAAACCATGAGCGGAAGCTACTGTACACACTCTCTTTAGAATGATAAAGCAAACCACAGTTTCTCTAACGACTGACTGAACATTAATTTTGATACTTTTGTGGTGTTTGAGCTGTGGGATCATTGTGCATTGTGAAAAAATATTGGAGTTCTATAAGCAGTCCACCACAATTCAAGAACAAAGGAGGCAAAAATTAGAATATAAGGATTGGTGCAAACATTAAGTACAGATATAATATAAGAATATTTGAAGTTTCCAAAATCAATAAATTTGTGTGCAATCCTTTAGAATAGGCAATAGCACATGGCACGTCTATACGGACATCAAGTAAACTATTGGGCACTGGGATGACATGGAATTAGAAGTTATTCAGATAAAGAATGATTTTTGACAGGTAAAAGCAGTGTGTTAACTCACTCGGAGGAAAGTTTATCACGCACCACTTGATTCTGGAATTCATAAAAATAGTTTAGGAATGACTCCTTATCTTCAGAATTTTCTTAAATGATATAAAGTTAGGCCAAGTTTGGCAACACCAAAATAATTCATCTTTTTATCTTTTTATCTTTTTTCCATCACATCACCTCTCTACTTTTCTGCACATCTTTTCGTAAAAAGATAAAAAGTGCACTTATTTAGGTCATTCCAAACAACCCCTAAGTATTGGGAAATTATAAACTATTCCCAGAATACCACGTGTCCTTACTCCCTAACCAATCATCATTTATTATGCCTCCTCATGTTCCTCAATCACCCAACACAATACCTCACCTACCTACCTTCTCCACCAATCACAATACTAAGGAATACCACGTGTCTATACTCCGGGATTACTGAATAATTACCCGTATTTATGTGCTAAAGAATTAGATTTTATACATCCAATTAGAAAAAATAAAGATAGTCCTACAAATTTAGTTTTGGGAAACTAGTTTTATGCTTCCATGGATTTAAAGATAACATGCAAATATTTTCTTGCTTCTAAACAGAAGCGGCTCAAAGGGATGGCAAAATTACCCGACCTAATTCTAATAGAAAATATTTTTTGGAGAGCATTGATAGGGTATAGTTGAGTATGGGGGTATGTAAGTCAAAATTACCGAGGTTAGGATAAGGTATGAAATTGTATCACTAAAGAAGTTGAGTTTAAAATCCAGAATTCGGACGTGAAACCAAAAAAAACCCAACCCATTAGGCACCTTAGGTGCTCAACTAGGTCCTCAAAGTATAGGAGGGGAGGGCCCCACTTATTACGTCTTCACTATATAGTATGCATCTATACTATCTATACTTACTATTATATAAAGTGAAGGTTGGACTTGGTGTCCAAGCCTTCGTTTGCTTCTCCTTATACCACATTTCTCTCATTTCTTATGACACTTGGGCTCCGTTTGTTTTGACATAAAATATTTTTGTTAAAAATATTTTACTCATTTTCCGTTGTTTGGTCGAACAAAAAGTAAGTATTTAAGGAAATTATTTTTGCATCATTTTTCCAAAAATGACTTAATTTTAAAAATTTCGCAAGTTAATTTTTACAAAGGTGACTTTCATTCACTACCTTTTCAACACATGTAGCCTTTTCAAATCAATATCTTAGCTCACTAAAAAGTCTAAATCAAATTTCTCTTTTAGGCAATAAAATAATTTTGTTTCAAGTGTCGATAAAAAAAAAAACAAAAACAAAAACATTAACATTTTTTTTTGTGTAAATATTTTATGTTGAAACAAATAGAGCCTTGAAACAAAAATATTTTATTGCCTAAAAGAGAAATTTTGATTCAACAAAGTATCATTTATGACTTTTTAGTGAGTTAAGATACTTTTTTTTTTTTTTTAAATGGAACTAAGATACTTATTTGAAAAGGCTAAATGTGTTGAAAATGTGACGAGTGAGAGTCAACTTTGCAAAAATTGAGTTACTAAATTTTTAAACGCGAGTCATCTTTAGAAAAATGATGCAAAAATATTTTTCTTAAAAAATGTTTTTCTTACTTTTTGTTCAACCAAACAACAGAAAATGAGTAAAATATTTTTGTGTAAAACATTTTACGTCAAAACAAACGGAACCTTAAAACAAAACAAAAAATAGAGAATTGCACAAGACTTGAAACCAAGACCTTCCATCTAAGAAAAACAATTCCTACAAGTTGATCAGCACACATAATATGATATAATTTTTTTATTATTTGTTTTTAGTCTTACTTACATGAATTGCATAGGCCTCGCGTGTGCTAGCCTCTAGTGTATATAAAAGAAACCAAATATATCTTGGAAACATAATAATAATAATAATAATAATTAACGAAAAACTCAGAGTCAAAATTATAGCAGGTACATTTATTTCATTTTTTTAATATATTGTTTTCATTTTTTCCACCAAAGTATGAAATTTTACATAATTTGATTTATTGATAATCAAAATTATTTTGATTGTGGGATATTGGGTGATTTAGCTCAAGCAAAGAAATACAAATTATAATACTTTCTAGAATATAGGAAACATTATCCTAAACAAGAAACAGTCATGGACCTGTTGACAATTGGTTAGAATTGTCATTGCACTTCTTTTTTGCAGTTGGACCATCCTCAGTACCACAATGAACTGTCGACAAGTGAAAACTGTCGCAATGCTTCCGCTTCTCTATCGAGCCGCTTTCCATACCAGAAGGATGTCCTGCAGATTTTATTCTAATGAGTTTGAAAGCAGAATCCTAATCTTTCAAATCCGAGTAACAAATGACAAAAGCCAGATCTATGAATGTTATTGAAACGAATGACAAAAATAAAATCTCAAAATGAACAAAGCACCCTGAAAATATCAGTTACAAGTGTTACGTCCTATAGAGATTTGGCCCAACCAATAGGAGCAGCTTACGTACCTGAAGCAGCAGCTACTTTTACAGGAGTTCGGTAATGGTATATTTGCTCAAACTGGAAAAGGAGGCTTGCATAAAGCCTTTGGAGTTGAATTGGTGACATTGAAACAGTGCTTTTTGAGTTCAAGGTCGATGCAACTTCACTCCATCTCCCACCTTGAGAAACCTAAAAGTAGATCAAAGGATTTGTCACATTAGTACACATAGTAATTATGTAAATTTAAATCTAAAATATAGCCCATTCACTATCTTAGAAGGAACAGGTATGGGAAAATTATCGTGTAGTTGTTTCTTGCAACACAAACACTTTGCTGGCCACAATTAAACATGCATCAAAATTATGGAAATAGCTATTTTCCTTTATGAAAAAAAATGGAATGCACTATCCAGGACATAAGCTGGACCCCATCCTTAAACATATTAGGTATTAACTGATAGTATTTTAACAATCTCTGTAGACAAAATAGGATGTCAAGGTTTACAGCATAGGCTATAGTATGTTGCATTATTCTAGGACATATGTTTTTATTGTCACAATTCAACTCATTTGACCTATACATGGTCCTCTTTTGAAAATTACAAAGAGCTGCTCGATGAGCACCTGATGATTCCTCAAGCAGGTGCCTTGTCTCTGCATATGTGCAGGTGGGTGCTCAAGTGGGCTCTATACAAAACATAGATCTACACCACTTGACACCGCCCAAAGGACACTCAAGCAGCATGTCAATTTTTGGAAACCATGTTTAACTTAGTATTCAAGAAACTATGGACCCATTTGGTAACGTTTATGTTTATAGTTTTCTGTTTATGTTTACAAAAATTTTAAAAATTGTAAACAGAACCTTGTTTGGTATCTAGTTTCGATTTCAAAAAAAATGTAAACAATTTACAAAATTTACTAAATTCTTGCAAAAAAAGTTGTTTTCACTTGTTTAGAAAATAAATTTTCATTCTTTCTCCCTCTTCACCCCCCTCTGGCCACCAACCACTGCTCGTCACCCCCACTTCCAGCCACCGTCAGCGGTAACCCTCTTCAGCAACCACCTCCGCAGTCGACAACCACATCCTGCCGGAAGAAACCACTTCTGGCCACCTCCAACCACTGTGCAGCCACTATTTTTTTTTTTTTTCTGCTCGAAAATATACGTTCATGGCATGTTCATGGCAAGTCAACCTAGGGCATGACATTCAAGTATTAATGGAGTTATTTCAAAACTAATCATGCTTAACAAGAGTTATTGATGTGATGACATTCCCAAGCTACTCAATCAAGAAACATGATAATTTATATAGAAAGTATCCCAAATAGTGTAAAAAAAAATATATGTGGATTACAATATGTGGATGGCCTTTCCTCATATCTTGCTAATTTAATCAATAAATTTCATATTTACCACAAAAATTAAGATAAATAAACAACAATAAAGCTCAAAACCTTTGGGGCAAAGCACACAAACATCACCAAGAGTAAGATCTCACGAATGCGAGAAGCCAACACAATAAGACCTAGACACTAGTGTTCAAAAAAGGCCAAAATGCAAGTTCTCCATCATTACCATACAAAATTAAATCAACAATGGAATCGAATTTTTCATAAATTGAAGAATAGAAGTTCAATTTTCAAGAGAGAATTAAAATAGCTCCTTTTTACTGAACAATTCAATATACAAATTCAATTTAGTTGTACGAGTTTCAGACATGCTTTGATATCAGAAAACTACTTGAAAATTTTTTTTATGCCCAGTTTAAAACCTAGCAGACTCTCTTAATCTCTAACAGTAAATTTATAGGTAGTTTTATGATTTTTGACAAAACAATCTTCTTTAATTTTTTCTGATATGTAAATATTCTTCAAATAAACGCCACTCCATTTGGATTGAAGAGTTTGGTGAGAAGAAAAGAAATGGAGAGAATGAGGGTTTTCATCACTTGTTTGGATGATTAATGAGGTGAAAAATGGTGAGAAAGACATATCCATCAAAACTTAAGTTTTGTTTCTCACCAAAAGTGGTGAGAAACCAAAATTACTCTTTACAAAACATTTATAATACATAAACTTCCCCTCTAAATACAAAGCGAATGAACTAAAAAAGTCACATGTATCCTCTTTTAATCATTGTTCATCCAAACATAAAGGTGAAAGCATCAATGGTATATGCGGTGTATACAAAAAATGGAAGGCCAAAAGTCATCAAAACCAAGAAAGTTAAAATGTTTTCTCTCTCAACATAACAGAACTACTAATCATCAAAACCAATTAGAATTCTGCTAAAACAAATTTTTTTTTTTCAATAACAGGATTATATTTACATTTCCTTTAATTAATAAAATATTTTTACTTTTTTCACGATGAGATACAACATGCAAAATGTAATTATACAACAATTATACTAAATTACATTCTTTAAAAGAGAAGCATGCACATGTCAATTGTTTAAACATTATCACTCATCAATACACTTCATAAAAAAAACATATAGAAACTTAAAAGAAAAAAATATATATACAAGTCCTCTTTCATGACAAGAAAAAGAAAAAAATTTACCAGATGAAATCCTCCTCTTTGAGTCACTTCTTTGTAGAATATATATAAGTCCAAGCTTGCATGCCGGAAATTAAAGCTGCCATATTAATACATTTCATCAACTTTCATGAAAATATAAAACCCTTCAATGCATAACTCAGTTTTTTTTTCTTCTTCTTATTCATTTTTCACTAGACAACTCAAATTCTTTGTTTATAACAAAACTAGACAACTCAATTTAAACACAAGAAAAATAGTAATGTTATGGTGATTGGGTCCTGTTTGAAAATTCAAACTATTTTAATTGATTTTTTAACTTTTTATAAAAATACGTGCAAAAAAAAAAAAAAAAAAGATATAACAGCTTAAAATCCCTTTTTAACTTTTTATTACAAACCCAAGTTCCCAAAGGAATGGGTAACATTTAATGTGACGTTTTACATTGCTTTCGAGATAAAAGTCAGTGTTTTTCATGGTACTACATGATATTAGTGTTAATACTTTCAAAAGATAATGCTAGAAATACTAAATTTTTTAAGAAATAAATGATCAAATATCTCATATGATATACGGATATGAGGCCGCAATTTTATATGAGATATTTGATCATTTGTTTAGCAGAAAATTTGTGACCATAGCATTTTTTCTTTCAAAATAATATAATTAAAAAAATGAAGTCAATCCGATGGTGTGATTAATGTAATGGAAGTCGCCATAACATCCTATAGCACCCAAATATGATATCCAAAGCTTGCATATGATATACATTTACCTGCATTCCAGCACCGTAACTCTGTTTGACTTCCCAGAAAACAGAGGAAACTAACAGGAAAAGTAGGACGACATGTTACATGTTCATTTTTCTTTCTTTTATTTTTCTATGTGCGTTGTCTCCCTAGAAAACAGAGGAAAATAACACAAAATAGGACCGCATGTTCATTTTCCTTCCTGTAATTTTTCAATGTGCATTTTTTCTTAAAGACAAAACACTTTTAAAATCTGAACTGTACATTTCTTCACCAGCATTTTCTCAGCAACCAAACAGACAAGGAAAAGAAATTTTGAGGAAAAACTCTAGGAACATCTAGAAGATGGAAAGTGGAACAGGTGAGTTTAACTCACAGGAGACTGAGTCCAGATGACTCGTTTAGCTTGCTGAGTTTGTCGAAGAAACTATCGACCGAGGAGGTGTGGGTAGAGATCGGCTGCGAGGCGGAGTTTTCACCGGCGACATTGTCATCGGGCTTCGGACTACCGGTAAGGTTAGAGCCGTTGATTTCGATCACCGGACGGAGCTTTTCGTTCTCTGAGGCCATTTTTTTGGGACTCTCAAACTGCTTCAATGGCTTCTTTCATGTCTATCTATTAACTACAGTGCCAGTAGCAAGTGGGTAATTAAAAATCAAAATATTACAAACTCACTTAATTATTTAAAAATTATTCGAAATTGCCCTTTAATAGTTGATATTTATTTTATACATGACTTTTAAATTATACAAATTTAACTTTTACTGCATAAAGTGAGTGTTTGGTGTAATTTAAAAAAACTTATTTATGATTGATATTACAAATTTAATTTTTATCATATAAAGTAAGCGTTTGGCGTAACTTAAAAAAAAAAACTTATTTCAACTCTTAGCTTAGTTTAAGTGGAAATGGTATGTTTGGTGTAACTTGTATTTAGGGATGGCAATTTGAAACCGATTCGACCGGGATCCTCGACCTTGACCCCGATTTGAGCGATTTTTTTTCGAAAAATACCTCCGATGGGGAGAAAATGGTATTTGAAAATCAATCTCCGATTTGTTTCGAGTCGGGGATGATGATCAGTGTTTAAGCCCCGGCCCGGCCCCATCCTCGAATTTCCCCGAAGTAAAATTACTTTTGTACCCCTTATATATGTATAATAAAACAAACCATGTATTATATTTATAATAAATCAACCCGTGTATTATATTTATATATGTGTTGTATTATATTAAGATCTCTCACTCTCTAACTCAGATATGTCTCTCTCTTACTCGCATCTCAACTCTCTTTCTCACTCTCTCACTCTCTCGTTCTTCTCTCTCTGTCAACGCTCTCACTCTCGCAGTCACCGACGGCAACATCACCACCACCGCTGGCCCTAATCCCCTCTCTCTATCCACTTTGTCTCTCTCTATTCCTCATGGCCACCGCCACCGCCACCGCCACCGCCACACAAGGTCTATCTCTCTGCCACCACCACCGAACCCACCGCCACAGCCAACCACTATCGATCTCACGCCTAGTCACTAGCGTCACTCAGATCTGTGCCAGACGATGGAGGTGTACTCAGATCTGTTATTTGTGTGTGTGTGTGTGTGTATGTGTGTGTGATCTGATCTGTGTGTAGGGATGGCAATATGTGTGTGTGTGTGTGTGTGTGATCTGATTTGTGTGGTGTACTCACACTGTGATTATTTTTTTTTAAATTTAAATATATATTTGTTGATGCTAATGAAACATAGTGATATATATTGATTTGTTGTTCTTGTGTTGAAGCTCGAGGATTTTTCGGGGTCGGGGAAACCCGATCCCTGTTAGGGGATAGGGACGGGGGGTGATGGGTTCCCCCGCCGGGGATCGGGGGCGGGGGTGGGGACGGAGATTTTTTAGCCTTCAAGGATCGGGGACGGGGAGTGTAGTCCCCTGTAGTCCCCGGCCCCGCCCCGCCCCGTCCCACCCCGTTGCCATTCCTACTTGTATTGTAACTTAAATATGAGAAAAAAAAAATTGATTTCAAAAAGTATCTCAGTGGGTGTTTTTCAAATTTAGATTATGCAGGTAGTTAAAATTAAAGAAGTCAAAATATTTAGGATAAATTATAAATACACACCTTAAGATTTGATTAAAATACGAATCGCCCCCTATGATTTTGGAAATTACATTCCACCCTTTGAGAATTCTAATTTTATAACAATGCCCATTTTATTAATAAATCATCAAGTCAATTAACAGTTTTTAATGATATTAAAAATATGTTTCAATTAATAATGTAGGTAATTTTATTATTATATAGGAGAGCAATTATGAATTTCATTTTTTGGTTAATTCTGTTAAATAAAAAATACTAACAATGAAATATTTGTAATTTTTCAAACCACATAGGGCAATCTGTACATTAAGCAAACCTCAAGAGTGTATTTGTAATTTATCCAAATATGTAAATACCCTCTATCATTACAAAATATTATCATTAAACCAAGTATATAAACTCCTATTTTACTCTCTCTTCTCATTTTTAGTGTTTGTAGTTCTGTTTGGAATAATTTGCGAATCGGTTTAGACCCACCCGCATTTATTCGGTTTGGAAAAAATTCAACCCACAACTTCCCGCAGTGTGGATTGCGGTTTGTGTGGATAAAATTCGCGGATGTGCGGGCGGTTTGCGGATTGGACTTTTTTCTTTAAAAATTTATTTTGGAGCCTTTTTTTTCTCATTTTGTAAATATTTATTTTGGGCCCTTTTCCCCTCATTTTCTAATATGCTCAAACATTAATAATTAATTAATTAAAACTTATAAAATTAAAAACACAACAAAATCAATTCTTAACTCAAACAAATCATTTAAAATCCTAAACTTTTAAATCAAATAAGAAACTAACACAAGCACATCTTTCAAAATTCTAAACTAGATCATCAATCTCATTCACTATCTACTACTCAACAATATAATTAAAGTAAAATTATTCAAAATCCTAAGTTTACCTAAAAGTAATTCTTCATTAACTTTTATATTCATCTAAAAAGCAATAATAAAATAACAATGGTCCAAAATCCTAAACTAGATCATCAATCCCATTCCCTACTACCCAACAATACAATTAAAGTAAAATTATTCAAAATCCTAAGTTTACCTAAACAGTGATACTACATGCACCAATTAGTGTACTAACTAGTGTACCAACACTTATTATGGTATTGTTATTGACCACATTCATTATTCAAATTACAAATACTAAAAACATCTTAAATTATGCCACATCATCAATTGGTACACTAATTAGTACATTAATTAGTGCATATAACATTATTCTTACCTAAAAATAATTTTTCATTAACTTTTACATTCATCCAAAATGTAATAATAAAATAACAACAATCCAAGTTTTTTTTTTTAAAAAAAAAAAAGTCTAAGTGCGGATGGTTTCTTGTGAGTACCTGCCTGCAACCAGGAATCATGTCATATTTCAAACTGCATCTGCCCACATTATGTCTGCGAAACCGTTCATTTGTATGCGGATCGGTTCGGTCGGGTTGGGCGGGTCAAATAATCCTATGTCCAGCCCTACTCATTTTACATTTGAGAATACAAAGGGAACACAGAGAGCTCTGGAAAAAATCCAAAGAACTCCCATGTTTTTGCTCGGATCAAACCTCAATCTGCGAAGATCCAAAGCCGATTGGAGGCACCATTATCTCCAACGAAATCTAGACGACTAAACTCCACCCCATTTCCGACGAATTTTAAGTCTTCATGTTCTCTTTTTCAACGAAATCCTAAACTTACTAATTTGTGGATTTAAGTTATGATTTATGAAATTAGGGAAAACCATTTGAGTTTTAAGATTTTGCTTTTTTGATTTACAACTTGTTACATGTATATATATATATATATATATATCTATTGGGCCTTTCTATCATGTCCTTCGTACTTTGGGCCATAAAGTCCATCTCACAACTCGGCCCAATTTTTCCCAAAAATTACCCTCTCAGGTTGTATATATATATATAAAGTTTGATTCAAAAGTTATAAACAATGCCATAAATATCCAATCTATAAACCTCTACCCAAGAAAAAAAAAGAAGATGAAAGATGGTTTATACATATGCAATCTCATCTTCATTGTACATATATATATATATATATATGTGTGTGTGTGTAAAAAAATTATTTAGGGTTTTTTTAATTGTTCTCTTTTTCAATGAAACCTAACTTACTAATTTGTGAATTTAAGTTGTGATTTATGAAATTAGGGAAAACCGTTTGAGTTTTAAGATTTTGTTTTTTTAATTTACAAATATTACTGATTTTTTAAATTTATTTTATTTATGAGTTTTATTTGTAATAGTGATTTGTGATTTACATGTAGATTGAGTTTTAGGGAATTTTAATCGGAAACTAGTGGACCATGTCTATTATTTGGTAGACAATGATTTTTAGCTTTTATGTTTCTTTTTTTGTTTACTTTTGACTAACAGTAGATAGAACAAAGCAGTTGCCTGATAAGGTTAGGTCAAGCTCATTGATGATGTAGTTATTGTTGTTTTTGAACTTTTTGTTTTTGAAAGCAAAATATAAAAACAAAAATGATAAAGTGAGCCCAATCACAAATAGCCAATATGGGTGGATGGCTGGAGGGTGGGGTGTCCAATTGTTGACAGGAGATGGATAAAAGCACATTGATTTGCATTACTCTGTTGACCTCATGTATAAGGATTCATGTTCGTTTGTTTGTTTGCTGGGAATTACTACTGGTTTGGTGCTTGTTTATGCATCTGCTTGGTTTCTTACCTGCTTGGTTTCTTACCTAACAAATATTGCTGCTAGTTTAGTGCTTGTTTGTTTTTCTTGTTTAGTTCTCATATGTATATATGATTTTCCATAAATAAAGTATTCATTTTTCATGAGAACAATCCAGGTTACTTTTCAGCACAATCAAGCTTTTCAGATAAATTACAAATACACCTCCTGAGATTTATTTAAAATACAGATAGCCCCTGTAGTTTGAAAAATTACAAATACCCCCTTGTTATAATTTTTTATTTAACAAAATTAACTAAAAAAATGAAATTCATAATTACTCTCCTATACAATAATAAAATTACCTAAATTATTAATTGAAACATGTTTTTAATATCATTAAAAATTATTAATTGACTTAATGATTTATTCATAAAATGAACGATTTGTTATGAAATTAGAAATCTCAGGAGATGGAATGTAATTTTCAAAATCACAGGGGGTGATTCGTATTTTAATTAAATCTTAGGGGGTGCATTTATAATTTACCCATGATTTTCCATCAATAAAGTATCCTTGTTTAGTGATTTCAATTTCCTTAAATTTACTAATTTTTGTATGAATCTTATATTCTTATGCAATCAATGATATGTCCATCAAATTGAATACTATTTTTCTTGATAGAATGAGTAACCAAGTGGAATCACAGCCCCAAAATAAGAACAAGGGCAAATGCTCCCAAGTACCAGCTGTCAAGGGTCATTGGGATGGAAAAACAAATGGAATTTTCATTAAACTTTGTGTTGAGCAAGTCAAGACTAGACACA